GTGTGGATAAGAGCTGACGATACCTTCTAATACAGTTTGCAACCTGGCTGACGAACGACACCTGATAGGGGCTGCCTTGACGAGATAGAAATGGCAATGAGCGGTTCTTCTCTGCATCTCGAAGCCTCAGGAGATTCTCCACTTCATCCGACAGAGACTTTTCTGACACCGTGTTTATCTGCCGTGCCATCCTTTCGAAAAGAGGGCTCGTCTTGTACGCATCTTCAAAATCTGCCGGACTTGTCGGGATCTTGTCTTTGTATCCAGGGCGTATCTGTCGCTCCGTGGGAACCGAAACTGACGTGAGGAAATCAGAGATATTTGCTCCTGGCGTGCACTTGAAGCCCATGTCTTCAAAGTATTGCTTAGCTTCGGTTGTGGGGCCGTAGTAGATCTCTCTCCCTTCAGCAAGTACGAGTACTTTGTCAAAGAGATCGTAGATGCCGTTTCCAGCTTGATAGAGAGTTGCAACAATGGATTTGTGCTCCTCGTCGGCCATCTTGCGCAAGACACGTGCAAAGTCCAATGCATTGCTGGCGTCTAGGCCTCGAGTTGAGTTGTCCCAGCATTGAACAGGAGCCTGTGTATGGGGTCAACGAGCGTTCATCGGAAATACCCGTGCTAAAATATCATACCTGAGTAGCTATGACCTCTGCGATTGAAACTCGCTTTCTCTCTCCGCCGGACACCCCGCGAATGACTTCGTCCCCAACCATTGTGTTCTTGGTATGACTGATTGACAAGGATTCTAGAATGGCGTCGGTCTTCTGTGACAGATAATCCTTGGAACTGGGGGATGACTCTGGCAATGAGCCAGGTATCTTGTTTGACGTCGCAAAGTCGATGGTCTTTTTCACCTCCAAAGTTGGGAAGTGTAAGTCATCTGGCAGGTTTTCATGTCAGACTTTGACAACTCAGCCCGCGTATATAATTCCCATACCTTCGGTGTTCATTACCACTTGGTTGCGAAACTGCTGTGCTCCCCTATGGCCGAGATTGCCGTATCTCACGTCGCCACTGACATGATGGAATTCCTTTCGTTGATTAGATATCACTTTGAGGAGAGAAGTGCAGCCCGATCCCGGTCGCCCGAGAACTAATAGCTGAGTGATGTGTTAGAGGAAAGCAGCATTGCAGTTGCACTAGTTGGCTTACCATTTCCCCCGGCTGTACCTGACCCGTCACATTATGAAGTATATGCTGCGTATGTTAGCATGAAATTTCCAGCGGAGGTCAAGAGTCGAGCTCTTACCCTTCGAGATGTTTGGCTTTGGGCGAATGAAAACAAGTCGGCCAGAACGGACAGGCACGTTGAACCATAGTCTTCTCCAAGTCCATGAACCTCGACGCTCAAGTCCTTGAAAGTGACAGTCAACGCTTTCTGAGGCTGATCAAAGTCTCGAAGGCTGTCGTCGGCTTGAAGAGTTCGATCACTGTCGTAAATCGTTGTTGAAGTCATCGCTGCTAGAACCTATTTCGGGTTGTAACTCCAGTGGCAACACAAACCAAACAGTCGAACGTTTGAACAGGGTTGCAAACCACATTTTGAATTGAGTTATAGTCTAATCTGATCTCTTAAATCTCCCAGCGTAAGTATCAATTCATAATCAGCCTCCACACATACTGAGGAAACATCAGTATATTGGTTCCGGATGTTGTAGTCACTGAATCTCATTCTGTCAAGATCAGTGGACCCCTTTTTAGCGTTGCCGGCGGCGGGTTTACGGTGTTTCGGATTTACGGAATTACGTCAGGACATCATCTCATCCGCTTTCACCAAACTCATCCTCTCTGACCCATTCAACTTCCGCAAAACGGCAACATAAGATAATTATTCGAGTCTTTTCGGACTTGAGGAATTAAGATCACTTCCGTGTCTGACCCTTCATACCTTTCTTTTCCATTGAGCCTGATATTCCGATTGGGAGGCCAAGGGTCGCGTATCTCGGAGTTAGCGGGATGCAGTCTAACAGCAAATTCGGAGGGAAGATTCCCAAGGCGTGCGAACCATGTCGTAGGCGCAAGATCAAGTGTTCCGGTCACAAACCCTGTCGGCAATGTGAGAACAAGCCATCCGATTGCGTGTATCGTCTCAAACCGCGCGTGAGATTGTCATCGAAGCGGGCCGCGGTGACGGTAACGAATGCCGAGACTGGCCACGGCGTATCCACCCCGGGCTCTGATCGCGTTCGCCGGGATGAAGCGGCTTCTCAACGTTCAGCAGAGGAACTCCAGCAACATGTAGCACAAACTGAAGTCTATCACAGCGTTGCCGCAGCTCACCATGCGCCAAAGTCTACCGACAGTTCACAACTCTTCTACGGGCCTTCTTCGAACTCTGCTTTCTTGCAACAGATTCATCGAGGTCTGCTTTCTGGTCAGTATGGCCAGAGCCATGCTAGAGATGTCCAGGAGGGAGGCCCCGGGCTGGATATGTTCATGCAGAGGAACATCTTCTTCGGCATGCCGCTGAAGATCAACGTTGAACCTGCTCAGCCTACAAGCTGCCCGGTGTCCCTGTTACAGGCAGAAGAGTTTGTTCTGCACTTCAAGACGACTCACTTGTCATCTTTACCCTTTTTCACCCCGGCTGAGCTTGACGACATGGTTCCGACTTTGTTCAACTATACCCCTGAAACAACCTTCCAACCACAAAGAAAGACAGTGTTTCTTGCGGCTCTCGCGTTGGGGGCATTGAGTACCTCACAGACCGACGCTGCAGAGTCATTGTTTATTCACGCCAAAAAAGAAGCAGCCATTTACGAGGACTCTGTCACGTTACCAATGATACAGTTTTTGATTCTCATGGCTCATTACCAGCTGAACATGGGCCGCCCCAACTCCGCTTACTTACATAGCGGCATTGCAACGCGGAAAGCCCTGTCCATGGGCCTGCACGCAGGGACCACGAGTGCAATTTCGAGAAAGGAAGAAGTTCAGGGGAGACTGGTAACGCTATGGTCCCTTTACTTCCTGGAAATGTGAGTACTTCTTTGATTGGCAGTAGGCCAACTTCTTCATGCGTTTCATTCTGATAACATCACCTACAGTTGGCTCAGCTTGGTGGTTGGACGGCGCAGTTCAATGCAAAAGTCTGACTTCGAGTCTTGCCCCTATCCGGACGGACAGCCAACATTGATGGCCCTTTGCCAATTCGCCAATATTCTTGAGGAAGCGATCGAGTCGATATACAACAAACGTACCGACTCCCTGCGTCAATTGTACGGCAAAGCCGAGAAGCTGTATGGTCACGTCCGGCAATACGGCGAGAAGTGGGGTTTGGGTACAGCAGCTTCCGTACAACGGGTAGACGCATGGAATCCCGAAACTAGTCTTCTTCTACACAACGGTACGACTCACCTTTGACCCAAGGTCTTATTCGATTTTCTTGCTGACGTTTAGTGACTTAGTCTACTTTCATGTTGTTCTTCTCATCTTCCGCCCTTTTCTGATTGCCGAAGCTGCCCTGCAATCTGGGGAAGGATCCGGCGGTATAGGCGATATCTGGCTTCGGCAAGCTTGCAGACACGCCACAGATGCTGCACAGGATGCACTCGCTTTCACCTGGAACATGCTTCGCGGTCCCGAGGAATGCAACGTAAGTCGCCGACGGGTCATTGCCGCCGAAAATCGAGCTAACATGTTCCTCCTTAGACACGACGATACCACGCATTCTTCATCGAGTCCTCCTGCGCTGTTCTACTATACGACAGCTTGCGCCATCCGGCAAAGCATCCCCACAACTTGGAGTTCATCCAGATGGCAATATCTTGTCTGCGCTCATTAGTGGGGGACGATCCAGTGACGAACGCCATACATTCCATCAAGCGCATCGTGTGGGCTGTAGAACAATCCATCAACGCGGCTAAGTCCACGGGCGCGTTCTTGGACGTCGCTTCTGCCGACTCGTCACCCTCGTGGACCGATGATCGCCTACCTACCAACATACAGTTTCCATCCTTGGAGGAGAATAGGGCTACAACGTCGGATGATTTGATCTTCTTCAGCAACAGAGCTTACCGACCACAACCTGAACCCATCACAGATTACAGCATGCCGATGTCAGGCTCGGTGGGGAACCCATTCCCTGACTTGAACTTTGATGTGCTCACGACAGATCTGTTTAACTTCTTCCCAGTCGAGATGAACTCGGGGCCTACTGGACACGGAGGAGCATAGTTGGATCTGGTCTAATAGAAGACTGGATAAGTCACAGGCAATTATTCCTAGAGCAGAGAGTGCCTTGTTGACTCGAAACTTCTTTACTTCGCTGATACTCGTATGTCTGTTGGCTATGTCTCGTGCATCTTACTTGCAGTTCTAGCCTCAATGTCGCTTGACATGATGATTCATGGAATCCTTCAACACACACATACGACGGGGTACTATACTGATGTCTAATGGCGTTTCTCTACTCGTAGCGGCCAATCAGATCTTATCTGTCGTACATTTCTCTCCGAGACATATCTTGAGGCTTATGCATCTGAACTCAGCCGCACCAAATGAGGCTATTACTATAATTCTGGCTAGCTGGTTTCACGTCAGCAACTTCTCCCAGTGTGCTAGATGGCTGCCCTGAGCATTACATTTGTCAATGATCTTGCGAGCTCAACTAATTGTATGCTAGTGCTACCCAGCCATTACACTTTGGATGATCCACAGGCCAGACTGGTGTGCTAAGCTGAACTCGAGGAATCGTGTTGTTTGAGAAGGATGTGCATCTTGCCTTGCCAAGCCGGACTTTCTTCCAGATGCAAGACCATGATGCCCCAGGATTTGTGCCCGTAGTCGATAACTCGGTGATGGTCTTCCCTCATTGAATTCTCTCCCTTGATTCCCTTCTGAGTGTAAGCTAGTAGACTTGTGGTTGAGAGTGTGTCTATAAAGTGTCCAATTTTCCCTTACCCTCGGCGGAAATGTAACAATTTTAGGAGTTATTCTTCTCTCGAGACAGGTTCTGACTGACTTTACCGTTGATCATACAACTGATTTCCGAGAAAATGGCATCTTCTTCTAAACTAGAACAGCTCCGGGATTATCTGTCGAGCCTGGACCCGAAGAATTCGTTAAAAGGAGTTTCATTCCACTATGACACAGCCAACGAGCTCGGCTTCAACCCTGGCGACCCACTCGACTTCTTCGTCGCCACTCCATTTGGCAAGTGGTCTAATACATCACCTCTAATTCACAACGTCGTTGCAGTTGCTGTTTGCGAGGCTCTGGTAAATGGTATGACCTCAAAGAACATATCGATCGGCAAAGATGGATCCAAGTACATGTTCATCGACTTACTCACCCTCGCACCAATCAACTCCGCTTTCTTCACCAAGGGCATCAGTCCAACTCTGAACAAGCTCGTCAATGGTCTTCCAAGTGATGTCACTCCAGTCATCCGCCTACTATGCGGTGACAACGGCATCACCGCAGCTCAGTTCAAGGACGCTAGGAACGGATCCGGGTGGAACGACTACAAGCAGATTTTCTGGGCTAACCATTGGCCATCCATCACGCATCCCAAGGCTGAGCTTTACATTGGCTCCTACAACCCCGACATCAAGTTTCAGCCCGGAGGCAGTGAGGCGTAGGTGAAGAAGCTTCAACCCGAGCTCAAGAGCTACTTGAGGAATTCGGCTTTATCCGGCCATCCATGGGTAATTGATCTGGCCATCACTCTCGTCAGCGATGGCCTGTTGCCTCTTGCCAAGGTTGCCGAGAGTAAAGGGCTTCCAGCTCTCAGCTGGAACCACGCAAAGGTCACGGCGGTCAGTCGTACCACGATGACCACGGGAGGTGCGAATCTGTGGGACAGCTATGACGATACCCAGGTCGGGACCTTTGACTCTATGGTCAAGATCAGAGGCGATGCAGCTATTGAAGCTCACAAATATGCCGATGCTTTGTGGAGGCAAGTGGATTGTAACCTAAACATGATGTTCAGACACTAACATGCAAGTAGCTACCTCAACGATATTCCTTCTGAAGACAACGCTTCTTTCCGACACTCTATCAAGCTTTCAGGGCCGACTCCAACAGGGGCGGACAGTTTTCAGGCAGAGACGGTTCCGCTTTTTTGGCAACACCAAGCGGTCCGTGAAGAACTCTGGATCGCAAGCAGTTTTGACTACGAGTGACGTGGGCGATCGTCTTCCCGGATATGGTAAACACCGATATCCTATACTGGTCTTGAATGTCGTGATGTAAGTACTCTTTCATTTAGTTCAAAAATACAAAAAGATCAGCACTAACTAGAACCATTGTACAGAGACATTCTTATGCAATTGGTGTACATGCAGACAACGAAAGGCTTCAACCCCTCGAGTGGCGCAACCCCTGACTTGAAGGTGATGAACACCGTCATCGACGTTTTGAGCCATCAATCCATCCTCCCCGCCACGCAGCGGTTTGATCTCAGCCCAGCTGTATGGGCAAGCAAAGCCGCGCGATTCCACGCCATCGAGAGTGCGACGAGCAACATTACACTCGCTCAGGAGATCTTTGTGGAACCATTCCTGCGAGGCAACCCAGGCGCCAATGCCACCAAGGGGTGGCTCAACACCAAACTTGGCCTCGACTGGGACGAGTACGTGGTCCCGTACGACGTCATGCAGGCCATGTGCAAAGGTCTGCTCAACACTGTCAAGAATAATCCGCAGGGCAAGAGCTTCGGGATGCACATCTTGCTCACCACGAAGGATGCCGGAGGAGGCTATGGAGATCCGTACTCGTGGAAGACCTTCCGGGAGATCCTAGTTGGCCTTCTTGGCGCACAAGAATTGCCGTCAGGTATGACTGCTGCAGAAATTATTCAGGACCGGCTCCATTGCAAGAGGACCATGCACAACGATAATCGTTATGGTCATCACAGTAAGATTGTCTATGTGGATAGGCAGCCTCTGTATGTGGGAAGCGACAATATTTATCCAGAGTACAACGAGCAGCATGGTGTCTGGACTGACGATGCGAAGAACATTGAGGCGTGGTACAGCCAGTACTTTGATACTGCGTGGGAAAAAGGAACCGACATTGTCGATTAGGTAGAGGATGACGGAAGCTGGTTCTTCTATCAAGCTCCTGTATGTAGGAAATCGGCCATCCTGAGCCATA